GTTCGATCCCAGCCCATGCAGTCAACATGTCGATGTATCCTTGGGCAAGATACTTAACCCTGAGTTGCTCCCGATGGCATGGCCAACGGTGTGTGAATGTGTGTGAATGTTAGGTCCTAGAGTAAGATACAATGCTCTGTATGAATGGGTGTGAATGGGTGAATGACATGTAGTATGTAAAGCGCTTTGAGGGGTCTTAAAGACTGGATAAAGCGCTATATAAGTACAGTCCATTTACATGATAACCTCGCAAAAATGTCCCAAATTGGGATCAATAAAGTACTTCTTATCGTATCTTATCTTATCTCCCCATCGAACCTCAAGAGCACATCACAAACCTTGCGATCCTCTGAGTCATGTCCGAACCATCGCACCACAGCCTCCAGGATGTTCCTTTCGTTGCCCACATTCAGTTTCTCCATGGCCAGCGCCTCACAGAGGCGGTCCGCGGGCAGCTCCCTGAACTCCTCAGTGAGGGCCACATCGCCAAAATGTGTCTGCAGGAACTCCGTGGCGACGTAGTGGACATGGTTAAGGCAGTAGTGCAAAGAAAAGAGCCGGATTCCGAGGCAGTTCTCTGCAGTGATGCAGCTCTCTAGGAACTGGCAGCACAGGGACTTCAGGTCGGTCAGGAGGAGCAGGTCAGACGCCTGAACCATGTCCTGGATGGTCTCTTCATTCAGAGTGATCTGTGTGTGAAGGACAGGTCAATTGGATATACAAAAATATACCAGGACAGGCAGGAAACAATTACTAATGTTTACTAGTCCTAAGCATGTCACTGTGCTTCTTTTTAAGCCTACGCACTCACTTCTCCGCTGAAAATGTAGTCCAGGATTTGTTTCATGATGGGCATGGAGACCCCCTGCAGCTCGATTCTGTAGGTAGACCCATCTTCCTTTGGAGGATTGTAGTTCAGCTTGGTCCTAACAGAAAACCATTAACAGAACATATTATGACAAACATGAAAATAAACTATACACCTGATGATCTTTCATCAATTTCTATTTTGGGAGTGCCCATGCTGTAACTAAGTGTCTGGGCTGACTGACTGATGTTCTGACTGACTGATGTTCTGACTGATTGATGGTCTGGCAGACCTGCTCACCTGATATAAGGGCTGGCAGCAGCCAGGATGTTCTTCTGGACAGGAAGCTCCTCGCCATCCACCACCAGCAGCGCATCATGGAAACTTTGCTCCTGCCAGAACAGGCGGAGGACTCTGAGGAGTTTCTGGGAATGTTGTGGGTCCGAAACCTTCGAACCAGGTTCACTTGATAAGGAATCGGGCATGTCTAGACTTGACTTTTAACAAATGAAGAGGGGACATTTTTTTATTCGGCTTGCATGAAGGATTACACTTTTTTGGATAACAATAATTTGTAACAATCGGTAGCCAAATGTTACTCATTAAACGGTTCTCTACATGAACACCAGAGCAGGGAGTAGTACTCTGCTCTTGTACTTGTAAAAGGAGAAGTACCAGAGTGTAGGAATACTGTGTTACAAGTAAAAGTCCTGCCATCTAAATGCTACTCAAGTAAAGTACACAAGTATTGGCATCTAAATACACTTAATTAAAGTACTCATTATGCAGATTGGCCCATTTCGGATTGATATATATTCCATATGTTTTGATTAATTATTCATGCATAATCATGCATATCACAGCTGGAGCTAGGTTTTATTCTTTTATTAACTTTTGGGTAGTTTGTGAATTTACTCCAGGTGTAACTAAAGTTTTATTTAAGTGTTGATTATGTTGTATATCATCAATCCATTATGCAAAGTAACTAAATACATTAAATACATGTAGTGGAGTAAAAGTTGACTTTTTACCTCTGAATTGTAGTGGAGTAGAAGTACAAACTAGCAGAAAAGGGAAATAATCCATTACCTCAAAATTGTATTTAAAAGACAGTACTTAAGTAAACGTACTTAATGACTTTGCACCTCTGCTGTTCACACCCCAGCGGACAGCAGTGAGCTGTGGGAGTATAATTGTTAGAATCTAGTTCTGATAATTCTGAGTTAAGACAATCACTTACCAAATATTGGTAAGGAATGTTAGTCTCGCTGACACATTCAGTCTGTCTGCTGCATGTTCACTTTATCGGCTTAACACTGTAGTAAAGGCTAGGCTAGTAGCAAAACAACCGACATGTCGATGATAACAGTTGACTGTCAAAGACCATATCATGTCGCTGGTAAAACCATTTCCAGTTTAATATCTGAAAGGTAACTTAGCTAACGTCTTATTTGGTTTGCTTACTTACTGGCAAACATGGGAAGACAAACATGCTCATTCACGTCGGTGAGACTCATGCCCTGTAGGTTTACACTGGTTCACACTGTTGTGTTTTTCATTGGATTAATTTCACTTTGGTTTTAGGTTTCTTACCTTATGGCAATAAATGTTGAATGTACTTGTTCTATGGGTACCGGCTGGTCCTCGCTGCCTTTAGGACGACATAAATCACTCCAGGAAATAATGTTATAACTGGACGTGAAACCAAGTACTGTGCTGCGTTCAAGATAATACCGAAAATACGAATACGTTCCGATGACACATAGTTAAATGGGTGATCTGTCCAAACAAACAATAACATATCAAGAAATATATTCACACAAGATACCATGTTGTGGCCTAAGACAACCTATTGATGTATACATGTTAACTAGTTAACTACCAACCTATTTTATACAGTCAATGGTAGTAACACGCCTTTTATTCTCACAGAGCTTTCGATTGTCGTGGAACATGAATGCAACATCAGCTAGGCGGAAAGTGTATTGACGAGTGACGTTCCAATACATACACGTCTACTTGTGTGCCAGCATAATTGCAGATTAATTTATTGTATGCACCATTTATATTAGTTAAGTGATATGAGTGGACTTGTATAACATGTTTTTGTAAGCTAAGACCAAACATGTTTTCCTTTGTTCATTTTCTAGATCTCAAATGAATGTGCGAAGTGACAAATAAAGTAAGCGGAACGGGACCATCAGACGAACCCACCAAACACAAAGCCACCGAGAACAACGTTACACAAGCCAATGCAATTTCCACTGGCAGTCAAATCTCCTTAACTTGGTAATGTACACACTCTAAATAAAATGACTATGCAATCATAAAATAATTTATAATTATTCACTGCATATAGCTAATGCAGATATTCTAGCGATGTGGTGATGCTTTGATGGAGGAACCAATGAGCATCGGATATGTTGCCAACGGAACACAGCTGGGGACACTCCGTTTGAAACTACAAAAATGAATAGAGGTGCTCGCAGCAGACTGCCTCCATGGATAGAGAGTCTGGTCCTCAGCTATGGCAGGGAGGAGGGGAGATGCGGCGGGCGGCTGATGGCGCATGTCATCGGGGTGGGTGAGATGTCTCAGTCCCAGGCCCAGGGCTCCGAGGGCCCCACGGGGCTGCTCTTCCTGTCCGACGGGGAGCTGCAGATTCCTGCCATCCTCACAGCATCAGCCTGGGAGCATGTCCAGGAGCAGGACGATCGCGAATGTTTCACCAGCCTTGTGAACACCACAGTGTGCTTCCACGACTACCAGCTGCAGTTTCACATGGCCCCGGAACTGACTAAATGCAGCTTCTTCTTATTAGTTGGAGAGCTGGCTACAACTGCTGCCGGTCAAGTAAAAGACACCCCCCCTGTCAGCACCAGCCAGCCCTCCGTCAGGCTGAAGATCTGCCAGACATGGAGGGCCCTGCTGGCTCATCAGGAGACACAGGACTCTCAGATGAGCCAGTGGGGGGGTGATCTGTCGGAGCTGCTGGGGGAATGGCAGCATGACTGTCTGCATGCTGTGCTTGGGGATGTTCGAGAGGGACTGATAGCAGCCAGCAGCCGCTCTAAGAGCCTGCAGCCCTCCAACTCAACTTACAACCCACTGCTAGCCCCCCCAGACACATTCACTGCCACACGCTGGAGTGTTGACAGGGTCCGATTTAAAGGAGTAAAACCTTTCGTTGTCCCCACTAAGTGCCTTCTCTTTCCAGAACAAGATGCTGAGCAGCTGCACACACAGTTACCTGTTAGAAGCAGGACAACCAGTGGAGTGTGTGCTGCCTCTGAGGACAGAAAGAGAGATTTACCTCAAGTCTTTAAAACTCTGCAGACCACGCAGCCTTCTGGTGACGATGATGCAGAGTGGGCTATAGCCAAGCCGGAAGTTGTTGAGAGAGACGCCAATGACAACTCACCTTATCCTGTGGAGGACAGCATGTTCCATGAGGACGGAATCACAGTGTTTATTGATGGCCACAGGCCTTTGTCCAGCCCTTGGGACATTTTTCCTCCACCATGTGACACCTCATCATCCTCTGATGTGTCAACAGAAGCAACACCAAACTATTCGCCACAAAATCCCACTACTACTGAATTTAAGTCTGATGATGGTGTAATCTTAACCAGCATGCAACAGCCTCTCCACAGTTTAAAGGATACATCAGAGCCTAACAAAGAAGAGCACAGCTTCCTCCCTCCATACCAGGAAGATCCACACTCAACCAGCCTCCATGCCACTGCGACTCCTTCAGCTTCCACTTCTGTGAGTCCACCACTGTCGCACCTTCTTTCTGCCACAGACAAACAGCACACACACACAGCACAACAACATCTCCCAGCTTTGGACAAAGAAAGTCAGATTTTGTTAAAAAACATTAAGGGGACAAATGAGAGAGTATATAGAAATGCAGGGAGAAAGAGAAGGGAGCCCACAGCAGAAGCCCTGACCTCCTTAGTGGAGCAGGAGACTCAGATCAGTGGCAGCCCTCCATCTTGGCTCTTTGACGCTCAGACAGGCTCTGGGGCCGAAGAGGGGGGCAGTCACCAGCCGGCTCAAACTGTAGGGACTGTTTCCAGAAAGCCAAAGAGTCCCACTGTGCACAGTGACGGCAGGCTTTTCTCTTACTCTTACCGAGTGTCTGGACAGAATCAGCAGGATTTCCGTGGATTCAGTGTCGTAGAGGCCCATCTGCACTGGGCGGTGAAATATCTTGTGGTTTCAAAGCAGATGGATCCTCCACCCAACACATCAGTATCCTCTCAATCAAATGTCATCTGAAGTTCTAAGTATGTAAATTGTCAAAAAGATACAAATAAATAAAGATATCTGAATGACATGCCAGCGTAATGCTATCCCATGCAGATTTGGGCAGAAATCATAGTTTATTTCAATGCAGTATACATGTGTTGTCATCACCTTTTCTAAAATGGTGTATTTGGATACTTCCGCAAACTAAACAGTCTTGGAATTGCAGGAATTTGATATGACTGCATAGCTGAGACTCTTATTCACATGTGATAAAAGTAGTCCTCATATAGCCATTTCAATATAGTGAGGCTGTATAAAGAAATATAAAAAAGATATAAGATGACCGCACACTTTACAACCACTAACTGCAACCTGAGGGCTTATGTATATCGACTTTAATGGGTTTCTTAGCAGTTTCCAAAATGGGAGTGATTGCCAGAAAAAGCGATTTTTGCAGAACTTTCAAGGAAATCAAAGCCTTTTTTAAGTCTTACTGTAAATGAATTTCTGAGCATTTTTGTTCATTCTTGAGTGGTAACATTTTCAAATGTAGCACCAAAACCCTGTAACAAATCATGCAACACGTTATGAAAAATGATAGAGCCTGGCATCATATAATTCCCTCATAATATTCCCTCACACATTCTAATTCAAATTTGAATGGCCATCTCACCAAAACACAATGTTTATAACCAATATTAATACACAGAGCTGAGCTGCATCTCAAATCCATCTTCAGATGCCCAGCTTTAAGATGATGTAGGGTACTGTTGCGGTCAGTTTATGTTTTGGTAATTGGATTTTCTTTTCACAAAAGGATATTAAAAACAAAATATGAGTGGATATTTGATTTTAGTTTTTAAATTTTTAAAATGAACTTGAAATACAAGGCTTTGTTCTTTATCATTGTCAAAAAGGTATTAACTAAACTTAAAAAACGGGATGATTTTCATGTTCTACCTCTCAAAACAAAAAATAAAATCACTAGAAAACAGAAACAAAAGTCTTTTCATATTCTGCTACCGGAAGTTGCTGTTTACAAAATAAGAGCGCAGATCAGTACGGTCCTCGTATGGAGCTATTATCAGGGTCATACTTTTTGATCATTAAAAAAAATACAATTTATTTGAAAGTTTTTATCCTGAACTTTGAAAAATACAATGTTTTTAAAATTAAAATAAGTATTTGAAATAATTGTTCAGGTTGAATATTATTTTTGATTCAGTTCAGCAATTTTTTGGAATAGAATACACTTTCTATACACAATACTCCCGTGATTGGTGCGGTGGTAAACAAAACTGATACAAGCCTCAAAGTTCCGTGAACAAATGTGTTGCATTGATTATTATTTGTCACATTGTGTGTATAACATAACAAAAACATAACACCCCTTAGGTTTTATTTAGTTCATATGGAGATCTTAATATCAAACATAGTCCTACACAACCAGCTAGTTGCTATCTTTGTCAGTCTGCTGCTTGTTGTTAGGCAGATAGTGTTGAGTGTGCGTAGATCACAGTCACCTGAGGCCTGTACTACGAAGCTGGTTCAACCTAACCTGGATATGTTTGAGTTAGCCGGTTGGCCTAATCCAAAACATACGCGCTCTCGCTAAACGGTAGGCTACTACGACGCGGGTTATCAAGTGGATCGCTCAAGCCAGCCGTGTCCTATCTAGTTAGGTGCGCGTTCACATGAAAGGGGTGGTATTTGGAGCATTCGACCAATCACAAACATGGACAAGCGTAGGCCCTACTGACAGCGCAGCACGTCATACTTCCTAAATGAAAATTCAACTATAATATTAGACATATGAAGAAGTTAAACTTTAAACATCCATGATTTAAACACTTTATCCAGGATAAAAGCCACATAGTTGCACCTGCAAGGTGAATACAGCTGGTAAAAGAAAAAGTGTAGTGGATCTGACTTTAATTACATTTGACTCGAGTGTTTCGTCAACTTAATGTGTTCCTTAAAATAATACTGCTGCATAGCTACAGTATGTGACACTGTGAGTGCTGCACGGCCAGATACGGCTCAACTGACTCAGATAAGGAAATAATACATTATCGACCTCTGCACTCACAGTGCCGCGGACTGTACTTAATGTTACTCTGATCCGGTTACTTATGTTGTGGCAGATATTTAAGTAAGCTTTCTTAACGCT